TGTCCACCTAATAACTAGGCCCAAATGAAGGTTATAAACCTGTTTGAGGAATTACAGCTATGATTTACAATTGATGGTTAAAGTTAGAAATTAGATTTTGCGTTTTCATCATGAACTGACATCAGATATAATGCCCAAACTGTATTGCGCCAAAAAATCCAAGACCTATTCTCTTTTATATGATAATTTTGTCCATTAATTATAAGCTTACCTCATAATGTTTTTCTCACTTCTGTGTTAGACTATGTACTTTATATTTGATGTTAGATGAGGAGGGGGGTAATGAGAAACAAGCATCATGGGATTCCATAATTTCTCTTACGTAACACATCAATCATGTGATATTCGACAGTATTTAAGAGAAACAGGAAAAAACGTGAAGAAAAACATGCTCACGCGTACACACCAACAGAGTCGAAGAAAGAGAGAGAGTGAGAGAATGAGAGCAAGTGACTAGTGTACACATGTACACTTATTATCTACAGATAACTTCAATGGTGTTTCCTTTTTCATTACTTCAAACAACATTCAGTTAATTATTTGTTTGTTTTTTTTACTTTTAAAAGAACAAAAAAGACGTCTCTTCAACAAGATGAAAATAAAGAAGAAGAAAAACAATTAGCATAATTTCTAATCATGAATTAAATTGATCATTTCACATGGTAACTGTTTTGTCTTAAAGAACGAGAGAGACAGAAACACAGGGAGAGAGAGAGAGCGAAAGAGCAAGACAGGGAATGAACGGAACAGAATGTTCTATTACGAATTATCTTCAGGTAATAATTACATTTTATCAGAATGGTTTTTTTGGAGATTTTTAGAAATTTCACAGGTTGAAATCATGAGTCAATTGAAGCTAGAAAACCATGGGAAACCTGGAAGCATCGGACGGCCGTTTCGTCCTATTTTGGGACTCCTCAGCAGTGCACATCCACGATCCTATACTATTCACATCCTAGCGTTAAAGCCTATATGGTGTCTGGTTCTCCTGTGAAGCGGGATTGAGCTGTACTGTTCGGATTATAAAATTTATATATATATATATATATATATATATATATATATATATATATATATATATATATATATATATATATATATATATATATAACCATGATTAAAGTTAGGGATAAATTATAAACTATGTATTATCTTCAATATTGAACAAATAGAACCAACTTCATTAATTGTAAATGTTATATCTAGAGCTTCGATTCTTAATGTACCACGTATGACTTGAGCAGTCGAACGCTAGAACACTCCCGAGTCGTAAATTAGACAACAGATAACAAGTGAAAAGCATGTCATTCCAAAAACAGTGTCAATTATGATACAAAACTGTTAAGGATTTATAGTTTTTAGTAAAAGCAAAATCATCATTATAGTTATTCAATCCGCACAAAAGGGGGTTAATACCATTTGTCTAATAGGGAATCTACATGGTAGGGATTCTGGAATATTCTTCCAAAGGCTGATTGGAAGGAATATCTTGAGCTCTTTCTGAGCTTCTCAGAGCTTCCTTGAGTTCATCCGTGAACTGTCCTCATAGTAAATTTGTAGAACAAGTATAAAAATGTCTTTAGACTTCTGATTTGAAATTTAATGGCTATAAACGAAAAAAAGAAAAAATCGGAAACATATATCAAGAAAGTAGTGGATCTTTGGAGATTTTCGAATTTTATATTTTATTTTATTGATCGACCTTAATGTGGCAAACATTGGAAACCAGATCACTGATGTACACTGGTTAGTATCCTCTTAGCGAGTTAGGTTTCTACGGGATGGGTTCACCAACCCCATACTCGACCCTTCCCCTTTATCCGGGCTCGAGACTGACAGTAACCCCAGGGGGCTCCAGGTGGAGTTTTTGATGTACACTGTTGTTGCCAAATTCCATACCAAGATTAAATGTCTGTTCAACACTCCCTGATTTTATTTTTAAATCTTTTAAACTAATTAGATAAAGACAATGTCTGTTAATAGTTTCATTCTGTTGGTAACATGTATAAGGTATTAAAAACGAACTAAAAATAATCAAGACAGCATATGGAAACAAGTCTCATTTTTAGTGTACGTGATTACTTTGTAACCTTCTTTTACGATTCTTGATTATTATGTTGAAAGACAAGTTTTATCTTATATTTCATTGAGATCATGAATCAATGTTAGACCATCATTGAAAATCCTGAAGCATCGTATAGCCATTTCATTCTAGTATCAAACCCAACAGAAGTACACATCCACGATCTTGTAATCAGAAATCAATCATGGGGCCTCTGATCTCGCGCAAACATTTAACCTGTGGACAATTGAGCCAATATTCAGTAGTGTCAATGTCTGAATTCAATCAATCCACGATATTGTGTGACCCTGTTTCATTGTGTTCAGTATGCAACTGGCTCATATTCAACACAAATTAGTTCTACTGGTCACGGTTTCTCACTAGAACTGCGGACATTTCGTCACAAAGCTAGCTTCACTTCCGAAATCCAGAGATCATGGATCGAGTCCCGCATGCTGGATCGTGGATGAGTATTTCTGAGAAGTCTCCTACTAGAACGAAAAAATCGTCCAATGCTTCCAGTTTCCAACGGTTGTTTACATTAGTTCATCCTATGATTATCAAAATTCAGCAACTAAGTGAACAACATACTAGATGCTCAGGTGGAAGGTAATAGGATCAAGTCTCAGTGTCAATAGGAACACAATAATCTAGATATATCCAGTAGATCAGTCTCAAAACGAACAAAACGTATTTCACTGTAAACCGCAAACACTAATCACACTTAAACGTTTACCATAATACCATACCAATATAATCCTCTCAGGATATCAATATGACTAAAAAGACTGATCAAAGGTAATCTTGAATACCAACAATTAAAAAAAACACAAACCCTTGTTAAGATACTACTACGTGGTATTAGTCAGTAGTCTTATGTTTATAAATATTAAAATAACTTTTATACTTGAATTCACGAGTCAATTGAAGCTTGACCGCCACAGAAAACCTAGAACCACTGAATGGCCTCCAGCAGTACACATCCGCGATCCTACCTTACGAGATTCGAATTCAGGACCTATCAATCTTGTGCACACGAATGCTTCATCTTTAAACCACTGAACACCTATCCAACAGTGTTGATGTCTAACTTCAATTAATCCAATTAAAATAACTACCGAATTCATTAGGGTTTGATTTTTAATGATTTTACAAGATCAAAATCATTAAACTTAAACAATCCCTACATATATCTATCTAAATATGTTTCTAAAGAATAAGAAATTAGACATCTCAAGAGAAATAATAAATTTATTTCTTTTTACTAATTTTGTTAATTACATATCTAACACATCAACTAACCATCTGTCAAGTTCAATAGTCCTTAATCAATCTAATCTAAATGAGAGAGAGAGATAGAGAGAGAACGAGAGAGCTGAGAGAGCCGAGAGCGCCAAGAGAGAGAGCGATAGAGATAAAGAGATTAGTTTTGCTTATACATTTTTGAGAAGAAAATAAAATCAGTGAACATTTGTAATTTATCTGTCTGTTAACAAGATATCATCAAAACAAACCAAACCCCTCACCGCCCCCCCCAAAAAATGAACTTCGAATATCCAGACGAATTCTTTGAAAATGTTATCAACATATCAATAAATTTACTCTAGGGAATAAAATTTTAAACAAGTTAATATTGTATAGTCCATACACACACACACACATACACTCACAATGTAACCCATGAAATATACATCATACAGTTGACATAATTAAACGTATCAATATGTTTTGAATAAACATTGAAAATGACTTTAATATTTAAACAAAAAAATGAGTCGATTGAAGCTAGGCCATCATGGAAAACCTAGAAGAAATGGACGGCTGTTTCGTCCTAGTACGGGACTCTCCAGCAGTGTGCATCCATGATCCCGCCTCCCGCGACATTCATTATAAAGACGTAAACTTCAATTGACTAATGATTTCAACTATTGAAAATTTTAAAAATCTCCACAAAACCCCTTCTGATAGAAAAATGAGTATAGAATTATGAATTAATCGGATACATTAGATATGAGGTCATTTTATATGATTAATTTAATAGAAAAACAAACTAATATACTTTCAATAGTTGAGATTATTAATCAATTGAAACTAGACCATCATGGGAATCTTGGAAGTACTGGACGGCTGTTTCGTCTTATTGTGGTACTCCTCACCAGTGCACATCCACGGTCCCGGCTAGTGAGGTTCCAGCACAGGACCTATCAGTCTCTCGCGCAGGAACGCTTAATCAATAGACCACTGAGCCAACCGGCATCCAACGGTGTCAATGTCTAACTTCAACCAATCCAAAAAATTGCGCCACCGTCCACAATTGTCTTCAGTGAGTAACTATCTCAAAACAGACACAGCCGAAATCCAATGGTCACTGCTTCTCACTAGAACTCCAAGACATACCTCTTGAAGCCCGTCACTAGTGAGCATATGCTGATTAATATCAGAAGTGTTTTTTTTAATGAAAATTTTAGTAATTTCAATAGTTGAGGTGGTGTTTGCTACTGATATCGACAGATATGAGTAGTATGTATCAACAGTTGAAAGTGAAATATCTGAAAGTGGAAGATTAGGAACATCAGAAAAAAGATATTGAGAACAGAGATTGATTTGTATGGAAACGCATGAACAATAAACATTGAGACTGTTGATGGATATTTTGCAAATGATGTATTTGCTTAACAATTTTCAGATTTTACTAAAAGATTTGGTTGTCCCCAATAGAAAAATGAACAAATGTTTCCATTTCATTTAGGACTCTATAAATATGGATATTAACAAAGAAGCCAAGGTGAGAATCTTAAAAATTTAGATCTAATAATATGAATGCTTGATTCTTAGATCAGAGAATTGGAATCTGTTATTTTATATTTCTGAAAAAATCTAATGAATTCCAAATACAGAGAAATAATTATCAATTACCAACGAGTTTGACTGTTGCACATTAACAACTTAGAAACTGGTATATATGAGTATCAGAGCGATAAGATGAAATGGTAATATCAGTAGTAGTAGTAGTAGTAGTAGTAGTAGTAGTAGTAGTAGTAGTAGTAGTAGTAGTAGTAGTAGTGGTAGTAGTAGTAGTAGTAGTAGTAGTAGTACTAGTAGTAGTAGTAGTAGTAGTAGTAGTAGTAGTAGTAGTAGTAGTAGTAGTAGTAGTAGTAGTAGTAGTGGTAGTAGTAGTAGTAGTAGTAGTAGTAGTAGTAGTAGTGGTAGTAGTAGTAGTAGTAGTAGTAGTAGTAGTAGTAGTAGTAGTAGTAGTAGTAGTAGTGGTAGTAGTAGTAGTAGTAGTGGTAGTAGTAGTAGTAGTAGTAGTAGTAGTAGTAGTAGTAGTAGTAGTAGTAGTAGTAGTAGTGGTAGTAGTAGTAGTAGTAGTGATAGTAGTAGTAGTAGTAGTAGTAGTAGTAGTAGTAGTAGTAGTAGTAGTGGTAGTAGTAGTAGTAGTAGTGGTAGTAGTAGTAGTGGTAGTAGTAGTAGTAGTAGTAGTAGTAGTAGTAGTAGTAGTAGTAGTAGTAGTGGTAGTAGTAGTAGTAGTAGTAGTAGTAGTAGTAGTAGTAGTAGTAGTGGTAGTAGTAGTAGTAGTAGTGGTAGTAGTAGTAGTAGTAGTAGTAGTAGTAGTAGTAGTAGTAGTAGTAGTAGTAGTAGTAGTAGTAGTAGTAGTAGTAGTAGTAGTAGTAGTAGTAGTAGTAGTAGTAGTAGTAGTAGTAGTAGTAGTAGTAGTAGTAGTAGTAGTAGTAGTAGTAGTAGTAGTAGTAGTAGTAGTAGTAGTAGTAGTAGTAGTAGTAGTAGTAGTAGTAGTAGTAGTAGTAGTAGTAGTAGTAATAGTAGTAGTAGTAGTAGTAGTAGTAGTAGTAGTAGTAGTAGTAGTAGTAGTAGTAGTAGTAGTAGTAGTAGTAGTAGTAGTAGTAGTAGTAGTAGTAGTAGTAGTAGTAGTAGTAGTAGTAGTAGTAGTAGTAGTAGTAGTAGTAGTAGTAGTAGTAGTAGTAGTAGTAGTAGTAGTAGTAGTAGTAATTGATTTGAACTCATGCCACCAATGTGTGAAACTATTTTTTATAATAGTTATGAGGATAATAGTCAAGTGATCTGCACCAAACAACGTGACTTAGTTTCCTTCCAACCTCGCATACACCTGCAAACACCACAAGGTGACGTAGGTAGTGATTATTGATACGTAGTGCGTTTACCGACTACATTCTCAACAATCCTATATTCTTATCGAAATTTTCTTTCAGTCGGATGGTGTGATGGTAAATAAATCCTCAAAATCAATAGTTCTGAAATTCTTCGACATCGATCTTTACCTTATTAGTTTTGCTGGATTTACCAAAGCTGAAAGAGCTCGGTTAAGCATCAGTAAAACATCACTATTTGGCACACCATGCTATTTATCCCTCGCAACAACTAGTTAGCTTGGATCATATACTTCTCGACGTATCGATCATCTTCTTAATATATCTCCGAGCCCCTTTCTTTACTGGCTTTGGGATCCTCAATTTGAAGGGTATTACAGATAACATAATTGTCAAGATCTGAATATTTATGACATTCAGAGTAGTGAGCCTCGATGTGATCTGGCACATCAAACGACAGACCATAAGTATGTTTTTTGTGTTAACATTATATATACCTTTCCACATATTGTGATATTATTTTTGTGTTTTCAGTCTCTTTTTTCGCATATTTATATACTTTACTCTTATTATGTCGGAACACACAACTGAACTTTTAAATAATAAGACTCCCAAACAGCCCTCACCTCACAGTTCATGCCATTATGACCTGATTGTATTGCATCCTGATTCGGTTATGCAAAAGCTGACTTCCAAGAGTACGGCGTAACAGTCTCAAATGCATAGTTCCTCTTTGTAGCGAAGGGACTATCGCATACTAGGCATGTTACTACGCATGAAGAAGGGCCTACCAGCTTCACTAACTATGTTTGGCTAAAAGAGGAACTCACTACATATGTAAGAAATTATTAATCAACGAACTGGTGTGAAATGAAGACCCAGATAAAGAAAATTGCAATGTGATATACTCACTCTTCATCAAGTTGAGTTCTTCTTCAATAAACCAAATTAAGCATTAGCTAAAACAGTAGACTAATAATAACTCATGAAATGGTTATTGAAATGCCATATATGGATAAACCCTAACAAGAAATGAAGTGAAGGCCAATCTGTAAGTTGGTGAGACTTTAATTTATAGACGACCTTTAAGCGACGCCAAAGTGACCTTGAGAGTGTCCACTTAATAACCAGGACCCAATGACGGTTATGAACATGTGTGCGACCTTTGAATTGTGATTCACAGTTGACAGTTAAAGTTAGGAAGTATATTTAGGGTTTTCATCACGAACTGATATCAGCTATAATGCTAAAACTCTATTTATCCAAATCGATCTGAGACCTGTTATCTCATATCTGATTGATCCGTCCATAAATTAGAGTTAGGTAAGGTTATTAGAAACTAACTATATATATGTTAAATGTTAAATACCTTTTGAATCATTCATTAAGAGAAATTATTAACTTCTCCAATATCTACATCTATAAACATCCATATTGGTTACTTATTATCACATAAACTTTCTGATTTATCTAATTCCCTATAAGAGTAAAGTATAGGAACAATGCAGTCAGAATCGAGAACATGATATGTAGGAAGTCAACAATGATAGGTTTAAGGTCAATAAGAACCAATCAACATTGAGATCTAGAAGACAAGCTATGAACCACATGTGGAGAAATTCGAACCATTTACTTCTATCTGAAGTTTGTGCTGATGATATCGTTCAGAAGAACGTTGAAAGCTCCTTGAACAAAGCATCTAACTCAGAGAACAAAACTTTATCAAAATTATATTGTACAGAATAGAAATACCACTTATAACCAGTTGACGAAATAACTTTATATATGACTCGAGTTTTCTAAAATAATGAGGGAAAACTGCTTTTTGTCAGCATAATGTAGAAATGACAAGGTTGAGCATATCAAGTACTTAATTCAATTCAGTCCTAAACATCCATAGGAAGATTCAAGCAAACAATGCAAAATGAATTTACATTTCACTTCATTGCACAAGCGAGTGGCTATTAGGACTAAGTAGCTAAGTGGATAACGCAATCGCGTTTGAATTGAATGGTACTGTACTGGGTTCGAGTCACAAAGTGAATATCAACTGTGGGATGTAGGTACATTCATCTGACGAGTCCCAAATAGGACGAAACGTGCGTTAAACTCGATTCCACTTCTAGCCACTCTTCATCTTTGCTTAAACAGTTTAACTTAAGACTCTATCGAGGCGATCCGCACAGGATGCATATATGTCAACAAAAGACTGTAATCCGTGTCGGGTAGAGACAGGTATCTATCACAGTACAATGGAAGTTGGTCGCGATATTTCGTGGATTGGTTGGTGTTAGACACTATCACCATTGGATGCCGGCTTAGTGGTCTAATGGTTAAGCGTTCGCGCGGTTCGAATCTCACGGGCGGGATCGTGGGTGCGCACTTCTGATGAGTCCCACAATAGGACAAAACGGCCGTCCATTGCTTCCAGGTTTTTAATGGTGGTCTAACATCAATCGGTTCATGATCTCAATCAAAAAGACTGAACAATCGTATTTCTAAATAACAATCGAGAGATATAATTAACAACACCAAGTGAATAATAAAATCTGTTCATTATTTAGTTCAATTTTCATGTTCATTAGTTGCAATAAAATATTGTTTATCAACCATAATTCATGAACGATCTTCGACTAATGCTAAAATGACATAGAGACAAGTCACCTACTTGCTAGAATCAATAGTAGGTTATAAATTAGTCCGAGGAATTAAGATTAACATTAAGAGTTATAAGTAAGGGTTAAGAATTAGAGTTACTGGCTTTCTTCATTAAATGACATCAGCTGTAATGTCTAGATGCTATTTAAGTATATAACGAACATTGAAAATCTGAAAACACTGGACGCACATTCCGTCCTTTTATGGAACTCCTCAGAAGTGCCCACTCATAATCCCGCACTAAGGGGACTCGAACCCAGAATTTCTAGTCTCTCACTCGAACACCTAATCTCTAGACCACTGAGACGGTATACAACGGTGTTAATGTTTAACTTCAATCTACTCATGGTCTAACGCAACCATTCATCAATTGTTAGAGGTGGAAAACTGTCTCACACCTGAAACAGTTTGGACTCTATTGTATGAATAGATGAGCATTGAGCCAAAATCCTAGACTTTATATTTCTAATTTCATTTATTCATCTAGAAATTGTAGTCTTGCCACATATAGTTACAGCAGCTGATGTCCATTATCAAAGTAACCGCTTAAATTTAAATAAATAGACATTAACACCATTGGATGCCGACTTAGTGGTCTAGAGGTTAAGCGTTAGCTCGCGAGACCGATAGGTTCTGGGTTCGAAAATTGTGTTATGAAGGAACCAAGTATTAACAAAAATATTTTCAGCAAAACATGCAAAGAGCAACAATAAACAATCACCCCATATCTCAACATTGAATTCAGTAAAACAACACCTTATTATCAACAGATTGTGTTAATACAATAATAAAATGGAATATTAAAACCAAATCTTAACCAAAGTCAAATAATGGAAATCTAGTGAAAGAAGGCTGATAAGTATCGAAATAGATTACTTAAGGCCTTGAATCAATGTTAGTATATTCAAAACAAAAGGGGGGGTGTAATCCAAGAAGAAATAGCAACACTTTCAATTATGATACTGAAGGGATTTTAAAAGCATTCATTCGATTGCAATTAAGGCATAAATGAATAAACCGATACTTGTTGTAGGATCATAAACCCATATTACTCAATCATTCAATCAGATAGGTTACTGTAATGAACGAGAACATAAATGCGGACAACCGAATGTACGTGAATACAAACTTACAGAATCACTTGGTAAATATATCTGAGAACTATGCAGTAAACATTTCATTTGCAAAATGTCAGTCAATCATCTCAGATTTTATTATTCCTTCATTTTCACAACAATCATTCTCTATTTTCATCCTCCTTTCTTTGATTTTCTTAACCTTCCACCTCCAGGCATTTCATTTTTTGATTGATGATACACACTACTTATATTTGTCGACATCAGTAGCACACATCACATTACCAGTTAGCTACAATAGTTACGACAATAAATGGTCGATTTTCAAGTTGGAAACTATGATCAATCTAGTTTGATTATTTTGATGGAGTTTTGTACTTTTAGCTGGATGGTTTAGTTCTAACAACAACCATCGAGATATCATGCAAACGATACAGAGAACAAGGAAGAAATAACCTAAAGAAGAAACTAATCAAGATCTGAAAGCCACCCATAGAAGTGTAGTGACCTATTTTTATCAAGAGAACGCGATTGGTTTAATGGAAACAATTATTATTACAACCAATTGTAACAGTGATTGTTTTACCGCACTTATTTGTTTAACTGTACTAAAGATATTCTTCCTTCCGTTGATGGTGACCTTCCACGAATTCGGTTACGCTCAGTACGCACACTAGTAACCTGGCACGACCTCGGTATTCTTTCGATACCACGAGATCGCCAACGAATACATCTCGATTATAGCTATCAACTTCCTTCTGATATTTGGCTTACAAGGGACCTTTTCGGTTAACTGGCACGTAGTCTTCCTGTAGTGGTGATCATAGTCAACCGCGAATCGACACCACACTGCAGAAGAAAACACAAGACAACTGCGTGGTCAACCTGTCAAAACAACCACTAATAAATGTAGAACATCTACTACACGACGAAACCATCCAGCTCAGAGAACAAAACTCCATCAAAATCATCCAACTGAGTTACAAATCTTCTCCACCATATCAGAGTTTGATTATGCTAGAGATAATTATAATGGTATATAATGAATTTGAATGACGATAGTGTTATATAACGAAAGAACAAATAGATTATATATGTCAACTCTTCAATTCAAATTCAATTGTTTAAGTATATCATGAACAATTAAGAATCTACAA